GCCTCCGCCTCCGTGGGCACGAAGCGCATCAGGCACTCCACGAAATCCACCGGCAGCGTGGCCAGGTCGAACCTGCCCCGTGGCCGCACCGTGGGCCGCGGCCCCGCACGCTCCCGGCGCCTCCGGCACCCTGCTGACCCCCCTGCACCTCCCTGGCCCCTCAGCACCCCAGTTGGCCCTTCCAGGTCCCCACTCTGCCCTTGGTGGCCTTGCAGATCGTGTCCTGAACCCATCTGCCCCCCATTTCACCCCATCCGATCCCACTGAGTTCCCCGATTCCAGCTCATCCAGCTCCAATGCAACCCAGTTTATCCTATTCCAGCCAAACCAGCCCAACCAGCCCCAGTTTCCCCCAGCCCAGCCCAGCCTGTCCCATTGCATCCCCAGTTCCCCCCATTCCAGCCCAACCTGCCACAGTGCACCCCAATTTCCCCCACCCCAGCCCAACCAGCCCCAATTTGCTCCATCCCAGCCCCAGTGCACCCCAGTTCCCACCATTCCAGCTCATCCAGCCCCACTGCACCTCAGTTCCTCCATCCCATCCAGCCCCATTGCATCCCAGCTCCCCTATTCCAGCTCCATTGTATCCCAGTTCCCTCATCCCATCCTGCTCCACTGCACCCCAGCTCCCCCATCCCGGCGCTCCGCGCTCCGTCCCCACGGCACCCACGTGTGGATGGCCCTGCAGATCTCCTCGGCACTGCGGCCGGCCTTGCGCAGGGTGATGGCCAAGTTCTTGGCCCGGTTGGCCTCCAGCAGCGTCACCTTGCTGGCCGCCTTGTGCGACGCCTTGTTCTTGGCGCACACGAGGTCGAGCGCCGGCCCCTGCGCCTTGGTCTTGAAGAGCTCCTCGAAGCGCTCCAGGTCCAGGTCCTGGTGGGGCGACGTGGACTTTGGAGCCGGGAACGCCGCACGCACGGCCGCCCGCCCGGCTCCAGCCCCGTGCTCACCTCCAGCACCCGCTCGTCGTCCAGCTCGCTGAACACCGTCCCACTGATCTGGTTGGGCTTCAGCGCCGTCCAGTTGAAGACGGGCAGGCGGAACTTGGTCTTGATGGGCTTCTTGATGCGGATGGCTGGAGCGGGGCCGCAGCCGGCTCAGCCCGCGTCGCCAGGGCGGGACACGTCCCTGCAGCCCTCCCTTGGCCATCCCAACTCTCCCATCTGTGCAATCCATCCATGCACCACCCTATCCCTGCACCCTTCCCGTGGCCATCCCAGCCTTCCCATCCATGCAATCCATCAACAGGACACCCCAGCCCCATCCGGGCACCCTTCCCTTGGCCATCCCATCCATGCAATCCTTGCACAGATCACCTCTTCCCCATCCCTGCACTTTTCTCTTGCCAATTCCAGCTCTCCCATCCATGCAACCCACCTGCAGGACACCCCATCCCCATCTCTGCACCTTTCCCAACCCTCCCACCCATGCAACCCTTGCACAGACTGCCTCACCCCCCATCCCTATCCCTATCCCCATCCCATGCCATCCCATCCCCATGCCATCCCATCCCATCCCATCCCCATCCCATCCCATCCCTATCCCTATCCCATCCCAATCCCATCCCATCCCATCCCAACCCTCATCCCCATCCCAATCCCATCCCAAGCCCCATCCCATTCTATCCCATCCCATCCCAACCCCCCATCCCATCCCTATCCCATCCCATCCCTACCCCCATCCCATCCCAACCCCAACCCCATCCCATCCCTACCCCCATCCCAACCCCATCCCAATCCCATTCCCATCCTATCCCATCCCATCCCCTCTCCTACCGGAGAGCCCCACGGTGAGGGCGATGGAGGGCGCAGCCCCGGGCAGCGGTGGCGCTGGGGGGCACTTCCCTGTGGGGCGAGACAGGACAGTGAGAGGGGCTGTGGGCAGCCTGGGGGACACAGGCGTTGGGGGTCCCCATCCTGCGGACACCCCAGACCCGGGGGTGCCGTCGGAGGCTCCGCGCCGGCGCGTCCCGGTGCTCACCGGGCAATGGGGGCGCGGGGGGCGGTGGGGGC